GGGGAAGTGTGTGAAGTTTCAAAGCTGTATGATTTATTGTTTTTGAAATACCATGTTTCATGAAACTTCTTAATTACAAATTTCTTTGTCAAAATAAGGCCTATAATTGGGTCTCCTATTCAATATAGGATGGACGAAGAATGAACTACGGGTGGAAATCGATTGAAACTGCAGCAAACAACAATGTGAGACTGATTTGGATTTAAAACTGGAACCTACATAGAAATAAAGCGTTTGATTCATACGCTGTATGTCAATTTGAGATTATATATCCCTGTTCCTGAAATCAAAATAAAAAATGGATACCAAATGCAATGCAATGCAAGCAAAGTATTTTGTTTTCTTAATCAATTAAAAAGGCTTATATAAGAATAACATCTGTCCTTGCATATGTACCCACATATTTTGTTTTTAAATAAGTCTCCAAGAAACTTAGGTAAATGAACTTACCTCGTCTGAATCGTTGTCATATTCTGCCATATTTTCCTTGGAAATAATGAGGCAAGCACGTGGGACAGTAACAAAATCCATAAGTCAAAACTCAAAAGTCATAAATCAAAAGTCATAAATCAAAAGTCATAAGAAAATAGTAAAATAAATCTATAAGTCGAAACTCAAAAGTGACCCTCCAAGGCTTCCATAGAAATTGCCTACATCGCATATTCTGTTAAAAAAAATAGCTGCAAAGAAAGGCCAACTGTATTTTCAACGCAGTTAACCGTCATGTACACAGGTGAACGTCGTTACACTATACCCCTGTTCACCCTCTACAACCCAAAACCCTTAAACATCATCCAAACATCATAAGTATTGACAAAAATAAATTTTATGAAAAAAACAATTTTATGACTCTAAAAATTTATAAAGGTATTTTACTCTATTTTCATTTTGCATAGAAATATCACTAGCATCTCAATTATCAGCGCATATATTCATCAATTTTTCACCAATCTTAACAATCTTGGTGTTAAATCTTAGATAAATAAATACTCTTTAAGAAAACAACACTGGCATCTTCACTGATTATACGAAGCAAGTAATATTCAAGCCCAAACTGTCAACAAATGAAACTCGGAAGAGATCTGATTGCACTGTTTCGGTAAAACTCTCACGAGTAAAACACACTTAATTCACAGTGAATTGTATTGTGTATTTAAATATGATGAAATTAAATTATTATTTGTAATTATTGTTCGATCAAAGCATCATATGAAACTAAAACGCACCTTTTTTCCTATATGTCAAATTCTCAATCCAAAATGAAAGTAAAATGGCGCAGCAGATTGTTTTCAAATGGAGTATTTTCATTGGTCACATGAAAACCTCGGACCAATGAAAATACTCCATACAAAAGCAAAGAAAAACAATTCTTTAACAATGCACTTCTACTTAATGAGATCTATCTATCTGAAAGTTTCATGTTGATATCTCTTATACTTTTTAGAGCTGTGTCCCGAACAAAGTTCAAAGTGTAGAAATAAACAAAGGGCAATAATTCAAGTATTAGGCAAGGCAGAGTTACTATTCTTGTGCACACCTACTCAATGAGATCTATCTACCTACAAAGTTTCATGTTGATACCTCTCATACTTTTAGAGTTATGTCCCGGACAAAGTTCAAATTGTAAAAATAAAAAGGGCAATTATTCAAAAATTAGGTAATGCAGTGTTACGGTTCTTGTGCACTGCACACCTACTCAATGAGATATATAAACCTACAAAGTTTCATATTGATACCTCTTATAGTTTTAGATTTATGTCCCGGACAAAAATCAAAGTGTAAATAATAAACAAAGGGCGATAATTCAAAATTAGACAAGGCAGAGTTACGGTTCTTATGCACTGCACACCTACTCGATGAGAACTATCTACCTACAAAGTTTCATGATGATACCTCTTGTTGATTCAAAGTTATGTCCTGGACAAGAAAAGCGGACGGAGGAAAGGACGGACAAGCGACGACTATATGCTCATCCTTCGAGGAGCATAAAAAACATAGTTAACACGGACACGATCTTTTTTTTTCTTTTTCTTTTTTTTATCTTACAGAGCATTGAAAATCATTCTAATATAGACCTATTAAAGGTAGAATTCCATTGAAAATCATAGTCACAGATTTGAGAAATTGTTATATATTTACAAAAATAAACCACATCATTATTTGTTATATACCGATTGATCCCATAACACCCAAAAGATACGGTTTGTAAATATTTACAAATAAATATAAAAAGGTATTTCCTAGCCCAGGTTAACTACCACTTTGGGATAATTACGTGATACTGTAATGGTAGCCATCAATGCCTGGCCCTCCTCTGACAGTCTCTTCTGCCGAAAATATAAAATGAAATTCAAAGTTTGTTTGCTACATAAAGATTATCGATTTACTAATTGCAAACTTTTTCTCTGCCTGTTTTGTCATTGGCTGATACCATCACGTGATCAATACACACATAAAGGTGTTTCATGGTCATTAGAATTACACTTTTAGTCAGACATATAACAGTTTTATTTACAAACAATTTGATAAAACAATCCCAGAATCATTTAAAATGATTAAAAATCGTTGAAAAATAATAAATGCATATAAATTGTAAATTTCTGTAATATGACAACTCACACCCGTAACAAAACATAATAGACTCAACCAAAACAAGCGGCTGCTTCTTTACCTAATAATGTAGTTGCATGGTCATGATTTGCAAACCAAATTTAAAAGCAGCTAAACTTATTGTAAAAACAAGAGGGCCATGATGGCCCTGAAGTCGCTCACCTGTATATAGGCCCCCGGAGCGGAGCCAGTTTAAACCCCAGGGCTTTTATTTGAACAAACTTGGTAGACACCCATTAGAAGATATTTCATGCTTAACATCTAAGGTCTAGCTGGTCAAGTTTTTTTCTTTACACATATAGTTAAAACCAATGACACACCTGGGGCAGGGCCAGTTTTGACCCAAGGGCTTTTATTTGAACAATCTTTGTAGACACTTACTAGAAAATGTTTCATGCTTAATATCTAAACTCTAGCTATTCGGGGTTTTTCAAAGAAGACTTTTAAGTTTTTGCTATACACATATAAGGCAAATCAATGTCAGCCGGGGCGGGGCCAATTTTAACCCCAGGGCTTTTATTTGAACAAACTTTGTAGACACACACTAGAAGATGCTTCGTGCTTAATATCTAAACTCTAGCTATTTGAGTTTTTTCAAAGAAGATTTTTTAAAGTTTTTGTATAACACATATCAGGAAAAGGAATGACCCCCGGGGCGGGGCCTATTTTGACCCCAGGGCTTTTATTTGAACAATCTTGGTAGACACTCACTAGAAGATGTTTCATGCCAAATATCTAAGCTCTAGCTCATTGGGTTTTTTAGAAGAAGATGTTTAAAGTTTTTTCTTTTGGTTGCCATGGCAACCAGAGTTCTGTATGGAATAGAATTCTTTGAACAACTTTGTTAAGGCTTCACACAAGGAACATCCCTGTGAAGTTTCATTATGATCTGCCTTATGGTTTCAGAGGAGATGTCGTTTGAAAAGAGTGAACGGACAACGGACGACGTACGACGGACGACAGGCGACGGACGAAGAGTGATCCTAATAGCTCACCCTGAGCATATCCTCAGGTGAGCTAATAATACTATGACCACAGCAGATTTCGTACAGAAAAACTTCATAATTGACTTATATTTCCCTTAATTGTTTTTACACAGTTAATTGAAATATATTATGATCCCATATACTGACATATCGTCTGTTTATAAAGTTTGTATATTTTAGGAAGTTACTGGTGGAATTTTTTCACAACTTAATTTGAAGATTTTGACCTATCTTTCCTTCCATACTTGCATTTTTCGAGATTACCGTGATACTGTAGTAACTTCCTCTGAAATTACCCAAAATGGCAGACAATGGAAATAGTTTAAAATGACATTTTAATCGAATCTTTTGAAATAAATTTTTGACAATAAGTTTTGGAACTTATTAAATAGATAAAAAATATATTTCATGTATGATATTTATATTTAATATTTCCTGATAAACTTTATGTTTCATGATATCATATCACACCGGGCTATGTGAGTGTGCATTTTACAATTGATTCTTGTTGTAAAACATAATCATTATATTAACAAAATAGTCTATTTTAGTTTGTATTCACCTCAAAATGATAATGAATAATCGTCAATGTGTTCTTACCAACGTACAATCAGTTTAACGTACATTGTATAGGTTTATAATTGAAACGCCTACTAACAATTACAATGAATTATATTGGATCGATTTAAAGCTGTACTTCGTTTTCGGAAAACGAATTTTAAGTTTTAAGTTTATTTTTAACCATGTATTTCGAAAAATACAAATTAGGAAATTAAAGTCGTTTGCATAATTATGTTAAACCTTAATGCCTGATTATGACTAACGCGTTTTCGGAAAATAGATTTTTTCCCTATATATTTGAGCAATACGAGAAAATCGACATAAACACGTTGGATTGTGATTAGTGTCAGTGTGTTTAAATCGCTTCTTTTTTTTCTTAACAACGACTAACTATGGCTTAAACTGTTTTGACAAATCCAAAATGATCAACAAACATTTTGCCTCTCTTGAGGTTTAAACAGATATCATTTAAAGATATACTATGCTCAAATTTGATATTAGAATATATTGATAATTGCTACACAGTTTCTTTGTAAATATAAAATAAACATGTTTTTACTTCACACAAAGTACACTATAGGTGGTCAGAATATTAATATATATACAGTAGTGCCATTAAAAAAACTGGCAGTTTTTTTTAAGATTAAGAAAAAGACCAACTTTACTTGACCTGTATTAGGGAATGCAGCTTCCAATACATATTTAATTCATTCTTTCATTCAATTTAGACATATTCGGTAAGAATTTCATAGATTTCAAGTAATTTTGAAATAATACATTTTACGCAAGGATGAGCATAGTATATCTTTAAGAACACCCGGTATGAAGAAAATATTGTTTCAGAATGACGAATATTTGAAGACGAAAATGGATGATAGTGAAGCAGACCAGGAACGAAACCCGGACGAATTAAATATGAAGAGTTACCTGGTGTTATTACATTCACTTCTGAACAAGTTACCGGTGCCGGCTGTAAGAGGTAATCTAATTATTATGCCGTTTTGACAATCATATATCTGTTAAAGTGCAAAAATATCAATTGGAAGTTCACTACACTAGTTTTTCATATTAATTCTTTCATTTCTTCTGTTGATACAGATATTTACTACGCAACTGTTAAAATTGAAAGTTTAATTGAATAGATTTGTATGGCAAGACTATTGACATTATGCTCATCTTTTCATTTTCAAGTTGAATTGACTATATATTTCAAATGATTTACTGTTAAAATGGTTGACTAATGCATGCGTCATATTACACTCCGATTAGGTTTACGATGGGGAACCGATGCCTGAACGGGCTGAAATTGCCATTTTTTTAAAGGTCTCCGGCCGGTGACCCTCCGGTGTCAAGTGACCGGTGGGGCACCGTACGGGTAATCGGAGAATTTTAGTGCAGAGTTATTTTCTTCCGGCATCCGGTACATCGCCAGCGCAACGTAGCAGACACGGTTAAATACCCTCCGATACCCGGCCGGACACCTTTTGTTATCGGTTATATACCGGTTAGAATTTTTACCTCCTGAGCGCCAAAAATTCCTCCAGTTTCCGAGCAGTACATGAGCGGTCACCAAAGGCGTCTCGGCAGGTTACTGACCGGGACCCGGATGGACGCAGTACGTCGCACGTATGGTCCTAAAATGTCCGTAAGGATAGCGTTGGGGTTATTAAACAGACCTACGGCAGGTAAAGCCTTTGACCCGTGTTCAATTCTCGGACGACGGTGAAGGTCACTTTCGTTGTACAGATGTTATCAGTACCTTGCGAAAGTGAAAGAGATTATTACTGTTTAACTGCTTGACAGACTGTCCAGGAACGATGCGGTGGCTGAACTGTGCTCTGGTATGTATATTCAAGTTGGCTTACTGCCAAAGTCCTCAGGGTAAATCATAAATAACACCATCATTCTCTCATTAGCCAGCGTGCAGAGCTGAATCGGTTAAATCGCTAGACTTGTAATCTGTACATTGTGGGTTCGATTCCCGGGATGACCAACTGAAATTACTAGGAATTTTGCAGATTAGACTTTAAAGCGAGATCCCCTGTATGAGTGCTTAAACACTTGGACAGGTAAAAAAGAAGGAGAAGATTGTGGTCTTGCTTGGCTTTTTGACGTTGGTCATCCTGTGTTGCTAGATAGTGTCGGGGTTGCGTTCATTGAACGCCGCCTTCCTTACTGATCTTGTTTTTTTAATATTTTTCTGAAATTGGGACATATTGCTATTTGTATCTTGCGCTGTCCTCCAACAACTACTGATAACGACTAATACTCTTCTGGAGGACTCGCCTATACGGGCAACCGATGTCGAGTATTTAGAAACTCAATTACACACACATATTCTTTCAGTTTTCACACACGTGGAGGTTTCTTAAAGTTTTCAAGTTTCATTTACAATCTTTGAAGGAAAACATTGATTTCAGAGTGTAATATACCATCCAAAACAGAAAGCAAAGAAGGAGTGGGGGAGAAATCAGAGGAGAAGAAGGCAAGGAAAAATGCCAACAAAAGAGGGGATGTGAATAACGGCCGGAAAATGGGATAGCATGCCATACGAATACCGTCCGACAGCCGACCAGATATCGCACGTATAATTAACCATCACCGTACGATTGTTGCAGGCCAGATAACGGAAGGCAACTGGACATTTATCGTACGGTAGTCTGCCAGGTACCTTTAGAATATCGACCGGTGTCCAGAAAGAAGACGCCAAGGGTTTTCACCGGGTGGCCGGGCGAGTACCCTTCGGAAACCGTCCGAATACCTAACTGACCACAGAGGGAGAATGACCGCCCAATTATTCCCGGACATGATTAAAATGTTTCTCTCCGATCTCAAATTATCACCCATCGATCCCTCTATATCGGCCGGTCCCCGCTTGTAATGTGACGTAGGCATAACTGATGATATTGTAAATATAAATATGCCTAAAATATAAGAACAGACTATCCCACTCTTTTTTATAAATTGACCGTTACAGTTAAACATTGATGGCTATTTACAGAAATTAACATTAAATTAATATTTTGTGCGCCTATGGCGTCGTAATATCCGTAACAGTTGCCAAGGATACGCAACGACGTCATGTTCAAAATCGGGCTTTGATGGTCGACTTTGACGTCATGTGTACAAAAATTGGCTGAAACTACTGGAATAAAATCAACGGAATCTAATCAGAAATATGGTTAACTTTCCGCATCCCAATTTTCAAGATGCTACTCGAAAGTTCGCAAAGTAACGCGTTCTACTTTAATGCAAAGTAAGTTATTAAATTGAAAGGAATTATGACTACAAATGTATATGTCTTTCACCTTCTCACTCACTATATACCCTTAGATGGGCATAATAAACACACTTTGCACAGGAACATGCTAAGAATTTAAATTATTATGACTAAATAGGTTAAGGATTTAATTTTTAATGTAATTAAATTGTTATAAGATACAATGTATATTTTCTATATTTCAGCGACCAAGTATCAGTACTGACCAACATGGAAATAGGTTCAATCAAAGGAAATGTGAGAGCATATTAAGCATTAAAATAGCTTCTTGTTTACTACTTTATTTGCAACAGCAAATACAATATGGCATGTGTTCAAAAACAGTTTTTATTATATTATGAAACTGTAAAGAACAAATAAAGATATTGTTTCTCATTTCAATCAACCTTAATTTGAACATAAAGATATTAAACTAGATTTTTTTCTTGACTTTTTATTAAAAAACGTTTAATTACTGCCTTCTTTATTCTGTATTGAACCAATTTTTATAGCTTTTTCAAACAGTGAAAAAAAAAGTCAGTCATCAAAAAGTAATAACATGTCAGTATATTGTGTCAGAAATACGCTGTCATTGAGAAATATGTTTTGCTTGATTTATTTATAGGAACCGTGTGATAAACCAGGGAAACCTAGCGCAGTTGGACAAGTTCATGTAGACACTGTCCTTTTGGTTTGGGAACCACCAAAAGAACTGTATGAAAACTTCAACTATCAATTGAGATACAAAGAAATTAAAGAAAAGCAAAAATGGAAACTTCATCCAGAATTAATGGCCAGTAGTACAGTCACTTTGAGCACTTTAAGATCCGATACACAATATATATTTCAAGTCCGAATGGTGGATGATGAGATTGAAGGACCGTACAGCGAAACAAGCGACCCCGTTCAGACTATTCAATCAGCCGCTCAACAATTACTGGAATTTACTTATGATGTTTCAAGACCAGATGTTGAAATGCCATTGAAAAAAATTTCATTACAAGAAAACAAAGGAACAAGAAACGAATTAGCAAAAACAAGGAAGTTAGTTATAGGTAAGCAATTATCTTCTGATACGTACAATTATCAAACTAGAATTGATAATTTAGATTTTCATTTCGTGCAAAAAAATTAATCTGAGTTTTACGCATAATTTGGTCATTAAGATTATAATTACAAAAAAATAAATTTAGTATTCATTGAATTACAGGTGAGGCGAGCAATACGCATTTTTCAGAAAGAACAATCATGCTTGTAGGCGCGACAGGAACAGGGAAGAGTACACTTGTCGACGGGATGGTGAATTATATACTTGGTGTGAATTGGAATGACAAATACAGACTAACACTAGTTGATCTGGAAGATGAAGAGAAAGATACAGATGCTGATCAGGTAAATAATTTATATGTTGATTAAGATTATGGTGTAGACATTCTTTGAAATATAAAATTTGCACACACAATGTGTTATATCATGAAAAAGAAGAATATTGAATCGCTAATTAATTATGTTATTGATTTCCAGGCAGTCTCGCAGACTCAATGGATAACATGCTATACTATACATCCAATGCGTGGTAGCCGGTTGAACTACACTTTAAACATCATAGATACACCGGGATTTGGAGATACGCGGGGAATTGATCGAGACAAGGAAATCATTGATCAAATTCGTACATTGTTTTCTTGTGAGGATGACACTGGTGTTTTTTACATCGACGCTGTTTGCTTTCTTATTAAAGCCCCCGATGCTCGTCTAATACCCACACAGATGTACATTTTTAGTGCTATAATGACTCTGTTCGGGCAAGATACAGAGAACAATATATGCATGCTTGTTACTTTTGCGGATGGGAAACGACCCCCTGTATTATCTGCTTTAAGAGCAGCAAAACTACCACATGAGCAGTACTTTCCATTCAATAATTCAGGTCTCTTCGCGGAGAATACCGGCGATAATGTTTCGTGTTTTTCCCCTATGTTTTGGGAAATGGGATGCAAGAGTTTTCAGATGTTTTTCAATAAGCTCACCAAGATGGAAACAAAAAGTCTTCGGCAGACGAGAGATGTTCTTTCACAGCGTGAGCAGATAGAATTAACTATGGACAATCTGCTTCCTAAGTTAGATGCTGGGTTGAATAAAATCGAAGAATTGCGCGTTGAAATCAGAATATTAAGATTACAAAACTCAAATAGAAGAAAATAGCGACTTCACTTACACTGTTTCTGAAACAGAACAAAAGCAAATCGATCTTCCAAAAGGCAAGCATGTAACGATTTGCCTAAATTGTCATATGACATGCCACAATGATTGTGCCTATGCAAATGACGAGGATAAGAAGCATTGCTGTGCAATGGACAGCAATGGGAATTGTACACAGTGCCAGGAGCATTGTTTTTGGGATATTCACAGAATACTCCTTATATATTTGAATATGTTACAGTACAGAAACAGAGGACGTATACAGAGAAGCTGGAAAAGTACCGCCGGGCCGAAGGAGAAACAATGACGCGCAAAAAGGTTGTAGAAAGAATGTATGATGAACTATACGACCTAGAAGATGATATAATGGGGCTGATGGATACAATCAATACTTGTAACAACATCCTTAGAGAGATAGCTCTTCGACCTGACCCGCTTAGTGTTGTTGAACATATCGACCTCCTGATTGAAAGCGAGAGACTGGAAAAACGACCGGGCTTTCAAGCAAGGATTGTATCCCTTAAACAGTGTCGCAAAAAGGCAAACGTAGGCGACGATGTAGATCGATTTACAACAGGGTTTACTGACACGACGAAAATAATCACAGCGCAAGTTAACATACCACCGAAACCCCCAAGAAAGAAGCAGAGGACTAGGGGAAAGTTCAGCTTGTTCAAACCAGTTGTGGATATTGCGAACATGTTTAAGAATTGACAGGTTCAATGAGAAATATTGAACTAAACTTCATGCATGCTGAAGTTCTTTGAACTGTTTTATATTGAGTGACTGTTCAGTATGTACTGTTAGTAATAGTTCTATTGACATTTCATTATTTTTATGATTTGGCTTCTCTCTTCTTACGTATTTTATTCCGAAAACGTATCATGTGTGTATATGATTCAACGACATTGACTTCGTTAACTGATGATTTATGCTGCTTTTGAACTTTTTTCTTCTTTATAACGTTTCCCTTTGTTATAATGTTAGTTTTAAATGAATAAAACATAGACATTTCGTTATTTGAATCCTAAATGAGCATCATTTTTCTTTCGTTCTGCGACTTAATTCATTGCTGTCGAGATTCTACAATTTTGTATGATGATTTTAGCAAACCGAATAGTGTCAGTATTCCTTGTGCTTAGACAAGATAATAAAGAATCAACAGAATAGTCCGCATATAACATTCTGTTGTGAAATATATTTTTCCATGATAATATTCATTTAGTCTGTTAGAATGGTTGATATGAATTATTTTCAGTACCAGAGCTTACTTATGTAAACAACATGTGGCTGTTTAAAGTCCATCTAAGCTCCTTGCCGATTGTCCCGTTTTGTTGGGTCGTATCTGGGTTGCTATCATTGAACGCCGACCTTCCTTGTTTATCTTGTTTTTTTTCCATATTATATTGTTATGTTGTTCTTTAAAACTAAATTGAAAATTAAACTTAATACCAAATAATGAAATAATGAATCATTTGAATTAATCATACACAGATCGTTTTGTATAACTTTAAATGATTGAATACTATATTTTCATGAGTCACTTAATATTTTAACTCTTCAAACGACTAAAAAGTCACAAACAATACTCTATTTATTCTTGAATCTCTGTCACAGTTATATAGATTTTATAATATGCCTTTGGTGTATAAATAGGCTTAATATCTGAAAAAGTTGATGCTATTGTGAAAGAAGTACGCGCAGAGTCATGCTGTACAATAATTTATTCTTCGAACAGAACAAATACAAATGTATTCAAATTCCGGTTTTAATTGGAGAAACACATTCATCCGGCCACAAAGTTATATCATTTGTAACTGCCCCTTCCTTGCCAATGATTCTGTCCATTATCCCATTGAACAAACCAAATATACCTCCTACAATATATATAGATAAACATTAAAGATAACAGATAACTAATACAGAGGATCAAATGTTTTCAAATACAAGAAGTACAGAAATACTAATAAAAGGAGAATAAAGCGTCAAATCAAACTGTTCTCAGACAAAATGCTCTACAGTTCTTGATGTTCAAGAGTCTAGTTGCTTATGAATGACTGGACTGATATAGACAATGCTTTAGACTAACCTGTATGTATAAAAAGTATTCTCTTTCCTTTAAATCTGGATGAATTGTTTTCCAGCTCTCCGATCATTCCCATTGCACCTTTCCCTGTGTAATAAGGGTCAAGTATTATCCCTGTGGTCGAGCTGACTCGCGTTATGAATGCTAAAAATATGAAAAATATAATAGTACGGTACGGTAGTCTAATGAGGGCCCAACAGCCCTTTCATGCACGGAATGCAGCTTTCGCTGTCGAGTACGGATCTCGGACATGCCACCAGTCAATTTCTTAATGGGTTAACTGTGAAGCACAAAGTGGCGATGATTTACCTCCATGCAACATTAATGGTTTGATACTACGTCTTCGCGCACCTGCAAAATCCTCCCAATCGGAAGTTAAATTATGTTTTTATTCTAAGAAATCGTTAGAATATCAAAAAATAATATAGCGTACCAAAGATTGCCTTTAGCACTTGACATAATTTTAAACATCATATCCTAACATTGAATTTCCTCGGAGTTTTGCCAAAGATATAAATTTTGAGCCAAAAGTGGGTCACTGCACGGCAGTCAATGAGAACCTAAATGTACAGTAACCCGAAACAATATGAAAAGGAGGTAGTACTGAAAAGGGATGTTATGCAAGCAAAGGGCTTGCATCAATCACTCTCTGTCCTGGGAGCTCACGCACCCTAGCACACTTTCCTCGTCGTCCTAGCTTTCTTTGTACAGTCACTCGGCTTTAGTCAGGACGACGGCAGTTAATTCCATGTATACTAAGTCGTGCCGACTTAAACGTTACCTCGAACTGTAGAAAACATGCAAACTTGCTGTATTACACGTTTAAGTGGTTCTTCAATCATCTGCCGATGCCCTGTGTCTTCTTAGCGACGTGCACACACAGAGGGAATTTAAGAAGGTGCATTTACTTCTAATCAAGAAAGGAATATTTCTGTATGTAAAACGTAGAACATAAATTATTTTTAGATTGCCTCTATTCTGATGTACCGCTGCGAAATACTCCGGATACTTATGTTTACCAAAGAGGTGTGTTAGGCTATCCTCATATCCTTTAATATTAATGGTTTAGTTTTCAAAGCCTCTATATTACTTATTTGTTTTTAATGTAACATTTTTCTTATTTCGTTTGTTCTTTATGTTCTACGTGAAGATTCGATGTGGATCTGTTTAATTTGTTACTCATTATTATTGTTTTCCTATTTATAATACAATTTATTATGATTTTAATAAAAAGTTTATTCTGGTGGAAACTTACTAAGAACGTCATCTCTGAATGCGCCGTATCCATCGCCAATATAACCTTCTATAACATCAAGAATGTCTTCAGATTTAACAGAACTCAAACCTAACTGATGTAATAAATCATCCATATCTTTGCACAGTTCTTCTTTACGGAGTAAAATCGTCACAGCATGGACTCTTCAACAAAAATAAATAACTATTCACAATGTTGCCTCTTTGGATGATTGATAAAAATGAATCATGAAGTAAATTTGTCACATGATGGATAAAGTTTACTGTTAATGAACGAAACCTGACAGAACACTTTTGGTAACATTGGAATAAAATCTGAATAGTATGGACTCATAACAAGCAAAAATTTATCAAGTTTATATTAAACCGATATATTGTTTGATTTTATTAGACTGTAAGACTCCAGATTCGGTTCTGTCCGTGTAATTTACGAGAATTATTTTAGAATATAAAACTAATGTTTTGTAAATCCACACAAGCCTACATTAATAACCGTCATCATACGTTTACATCCGCAATAACAAAATGGGTTAGGTAATTTCCCAATACGACAGAGGTCTTTGGTTCGAGCCTACAGGTAGTCAAGTATTTTGTTTCTCTTTATTTTGCAGTATACGAGTAATTTGATAATGCTATTTCATGTGTGTACATAATGTTATTGTTCTCATAACATTATGCAGGATGATTAAACGAAATGAAAATGCATTACATTTACCTGAGTTTAGACCCTGTCAAATAGTTTCGCCACTGCTACACCCAGAGAGGTGCCGCCGGTCGCGACTGTTAATACTATGTCGTCAAATCGTTCATGTAGTCCCTGTTAAAGAAACCGGCAGTGTATCATTCAAGAAGGCTTGTGATCATGATTATATTTTGGAATCCTCTCTAACAGTATACTCGTTAAGTGAAATTTCGGTCCTTATTAGATACAGATACATGATTATAATATAACCATACGAACATATTTTGGAAACATTTTAGGAACAAATACATGTAAGTTTAAGTTTGAGTTGCGAAAGATGTCTACAATACATGTGCTATAGATATACTTAAAGGCATAATTTTTCGGAGACAACTGTTAATTTCTAATTAGCCATTGTATTGATTAAGCCGCTGTCAGGGATTAAATTCACTAATGCAGGAGGCCAATGGTGTATATTTATTTAGTTAAGTTGAGTTACAGGTAATTCAACAGTGATCATGATGCACGGTCCAAAGGTCATCTGAAACATCTGAACTAGTCCTCCTACTTAAAACAATAGAGAAAACATCGGATTTGTAGTTCAGGTGCCTCTGACGAAGCTGCATGTCAAATAATAATTGACATATACTCTCACAGCCAATTCAGAATTAATATGGGATTAGTAATCATTTACTTATTTACATGTATCGTGTATTGAGTGAATTATAAAATCTTGAAATCTCTAAAAACTTAATATGGATAATTTGGTAATTATAGTGGTTAGTTTTCCAAGGGAATTCTGACGTGGAGCGACTGACGGGGTATGCGAAATCGGCTTAAAAACAGACAGACAGACAGACAGACAAGCAAACAAACAAACAAACTTTACACATTTACTCATTTTAGTGGCTTAGTTAAGACTTAATCACACCGAGTCTGCAATTTTCATGTAAATTTGCTGTGATTAATGCTTCCGAGGGATCACTATTCCTCCAGATCTTTAGTAATATACAACCAAACTAGTGTATCGTGTTAGCGGTGCATAAAATGATGACTTTATATTGTGGGGCCCATGATGTCATCACAAAGACGAGAAATGATGAATCGTTAATCAACTATCTTATACAATCCGAATCCAGCCCTATCCGAAAATATGGCATGCAAGCTGTCAGTCACAGAAATTATATCGTAACTACTTGGTTCTACATTAAACTACAGGTTTAATTCAATTAATTATCGGTCACTGAAGATACCTGGGGTGTAATTGTACACTGTCAACACTTAGAAATTCTGTTTTATCTGTGTAATTAATATTCATCGCTCCTCGTAAGATTTGCGGGTTGAAATTGTTGGAGTTTACGACATTCCGTTAATTAAATACCCCTTCCGGGTATCGGTAAAACTTATCATGCAGGCTATAAATATCATTTATACATTGTTATTGTTATTTTTGCTATGAATATGTAGGAAGATTTATTTTTGATACAGCGACATGGTTTTGAGAATGTTCATGCAAGTTTAATTTAAATATGGCTCATTAAAATTTTATTGAGGAATGGCGGAACAGCGACCTTCCAGTTTCCAACGATTCCTGCAGAGCTTTCCTGCAATTTATAAGTCTACTTGAAGAATGTTATATTTGATACTGAAATCAAGAAGAGATTTATGCTTGTGTTCCTGCTTAAAGTTGCTTTTAATGTGTGAGCAGTGGTATATAAGTGTCTCTCTTATCTCACTGTGTATGTCTCTTCATGGCTTTTAGTGTAAGAGCAGTGGTATATATGAGCTTTTATAATACTGCACGTTTGTAACGTCGCTTTTCATTGGATAATCATGAGGTTTATATAATTTTATATACAAGGCTGCTGTCGATTCATGAAGAAATATTACTTTTTTCTCTAAAAAAAGATGTTTGCTGTATTATAAATTCGTTATAAAGATAGTTGACAGGTTATATGGCCGTATATAAACGGCTGTTTGCAATATAACCCTCGCCTAGCGGCTCGGGTTATATTTACAAATAGCCGTTTATATAGGGTCATATAACCTGTCAACAATCTTTATAACTAATAATATATCTCATCGCACTCTCTTTTGCATGTGCTTATGTTTGAGCAGTGATATTATGAGTATTTAACTCATAACACTCTCATGTCTGCGCAGTTTAGATGAGTTATGCTTATCTATGTGCTTATATATATTTGTTCCAGTATAATGATGACCTAGATCTTGACCAACATATATGAAGCTGATGTTAATAAGAAGTCACAGATTAACGATTTATGAAATTTATATGTACACATTTTTTTGGGGGGAAAGATATTTTTTAATTATATTGTTGAAACTTAACATAATATGGCTTTTACTTCATCCATCATGTCTCTCATTGATCATATTTGGGTTATTAGGGTATTGGGGTCTGGCTCCTTAAGCTTAATTGCTTAAGACGCCTTGCATGGACTAGGATTCGAACCATATTTGAAGTTATTTCTTAGTGCCGGCCCCACTGGACCCTGACAATATACATGTATAATGTATAATCTGTATTATTTATCTGTAATATGTATATTAAGATACCTGTTGAAGAAGTTCCTCAAATAACGTTATAAATGCATAAACCGCTTTACCGGTCGCCCCTCCAGAAGGTATACAGTAGCACTTTTCTTTGTATGCATCGCTAGAACGAAAATGTGATAACTAGTTATGTTCTTTAACAACAAATAAAATCAGAATATAGGATCTAAGATAATTAAATGGTATACTGGGTAATGATTGTCTTTAAAATAGACTGCTCAATACGAACCGATTTAATGTTGTTTTTATTTTGTGGCTTTTCTTTTAATATTAGATTGTTGCTTCAAATATCATTTTTATAGCGATTGCACTGTTTTTCGATTTGAAGAATGAACATGATTACGAAAATTTACCTTATAAAGTGCTGCATCCTCGCGATTCTTCGTTTAAGGGACTTGTAACCTTCCAGTGGTGTGACATAAATTTTGCTTCCTGCCATTCTGTATAACAATATATTACCCATAGCCACGAGAGGATCTTCTTTCTGTGTAACAAAAACATAGCCAAACACACTGACTGAATCTCTTGATATTCTTTTTGATTATTATTATTAATGACACCATTCAAGTAAAAAGGCTTACATTTTATACTCAACGGACTTGACACGAACAAAGACTGTATTCCACCGAGTTTGCTTGCCTAGTCTATATTTAGATTTTAAGTTGTAATTTTCGTATCCTAGATTTATATCTAAATCACTGATAAGATATATGTAAATATTTATTGCTTAAACAAACACTATATAACCAAAGATATTGCAAAGGAAACAAAATTAAATAATATGTAAGGGTTCTTTATGTGAATGGCCCCGTCGCCAAATCGACGTCATTGGTAATCTACAAATTACGTCATTACTTTTTACGCGTAATAAAATTACCGTTACGAGTAATAAAATAACGTGTATATAAAAATACTCAGGGTAAATAATATCGGCTATCCTATATCGAAGGATGCACGATATATAGGTTCAATTGGTTGATACACTACATATTTATTTGCAAAATATTTTTTTTTTTGTTAAAGTCAAAAACATTGTAACTACAAAAATACATTCCTTCTGACATTATTTTATCATAAGCTAAATAGAACAAGAGCCATGTTAACATGGAGCCATGTTAACATGGCCAACCCCCGCCGAAATATGTTTGCTCATTGGAAGAGTGTATATATGTTGTAGAGCAGAATAGGTCTTTTTGTAATGAAAACTGATGGCTAAAGTGATTACAGATTTGCAACCTATGTGAATACTGATGGCTGAAAACAACAAAGGGCAATAACTGAAAAACAATGCAGGGTAGGTTATCATTCTTATGCTGCACTCCTCCTTAATGAGATCTATCCTCCTATAAAGTTTGAAGTTGATACCTTTAACACTTTTTGAGATACCTCCGAACAAAAAGTATGAAAAATAACAAATAACTCCAAAATTATAAAGGGTAGAGTATCATTCTTGCGCACAGCATTACTCCTCCACCTATGAAGTCTCACTTTTTGAGTTATGCGCCACTCAGGTGAAAAATTAAGTATGAAAAATAACAAAAGGCAATAACCTAAAAATTATGAAGGGTAGAGCTATCACTCTTGTGCATTACACATCTCCTGAGTGAGATATATCCACCTATGAAGTTTCATGTTGATATCCCAAAGGCTTTTTGAGTTATGCTCTGAACAAAAAAATAAGTTTAAAAAATAACAAAAGGGCAATAACTGAAAAATTATGAAGGGTAAAGTTATCACTCTTGTGCACTGCATTCTTCCTCAATATGATCTATCCACCTATGAAGTTTCAAGTAGATACCTCAAATACATTTTGAGATATGCTCTGGACAAAAAGTACGACAAATAACAAAGGGCAATAACTCAAAAAATATAAAGGGTAGAGTTATCATTCTTGCGCACAGCATTCCTCCTCAATAAGATCCACCAACCTATGAAGTTTCATGTTGACATCTTAAAGACTTTTGAGTTATGCTCCATTCAGGTGAAAAAGTAAGTATGAAAAATAACAAAGGGCAATAACTGAAAATTTATGCTGGGTAGAATTATCATTCTTGTGCACTGCACTCCCGCTCAATATGATCTATCCACCTATACAGTTTCAAGTTGATACCTCAAATACTTTTTGAGATATGCTCCGGACAAAAAATGTGGGACGGAAGGACGGACGGAAGGATAGACGGACGGACGGACGGACGGAGACTATTAAAATATCCCCCGCCGCCTTTCGGCGGGGGATAATAAAAGGCATAACAGTTGTGGAAGCAGTTGTGGAAGCGCTGAAGTGGACCATACATTACAGTTTAGGGAGAAATCCGGTTCGATTCCTTAAAAAGACGATTAAAATTAGTGCTAATACGGTTTTACCTGTCTTTGACGCATATTATTATTGACATTATGACAAAATTTCTTCAGCGTAATATTTCAATAAAGCAAATGTTGTTCTAATATCTGTTACAACAGACTGAACCCGACAAAAATGAAATGAGCCGCGTCACGACAAAACCAGCATAGTGCGTTTGCGACCAGCATGGGTCCAGACCAGCCTGCGCATCTGCGCAATCTGATCAGGATCCATGCTGGTCGCTGTCAGTTTCTCTTCTTGTTATAGAGTATGTAAGCGGACAGCATGGATCCTGATCAGACTGTGCGGGTGCGCTGGCTGGTCTGGATCCATGCTTGTTGCAAACGCATAATGTTGGTTTTGTCGTGACGCGGCTCAAATATCATTGTTGGGGATAAAAGCATATTCATATTTCATCACTGTTACAATAAAAATAAATCGTTTATTAAATTTAAATATATATATACTTTCTCAAATGGGTCAATCACAATGTGAGGTTTTAAACCCAGTGATCGACAGATGAGGGAAACTGCTCGACAATGACAGGACTGTGGTCCGCCCCCTGTGACAATATGTGTTGCTCCATCTTCAAGAGCTTCGGCAAATAGGATCTGTAGCGCTCGAACCTAAAGCTCATAATAACACAAGTTGGAACATAAATTCATATACACAATAAAATTATGAACCAATTGGATCCAAGCGTAAAAGAAAACATTATAAATCCCTATGGATCCTAGTTGTAATTGAAAAATGGTTAATTAAAGATGTAATAGACGGAATAAACATGTTACAGATAGGGTAACTTCGGCCAAATATATTTGGTAGAAAGTATCACTCAAATTTAATAACAAATTGAGCTGATCGTATATTATATTGATGAACAATGCTCAATCAAATATATTGCACTTTATTACATTATGACGCCACCAACCCCGAAACAACCATCATTAGAAAATCTGACAGCATAGCCAGTGTACAATTTGGCGAACTCGACTAGTAACTTTTATATACTTGCATATCCGACTACTACGGGGTTCGAGAATAAATGAGCCGCGTCACGACAAAACCAACATAATGGGTTTGCGACCATCATGGATCCAGACCAGACCAGCCTCCTCGCAGTCTGATCAGGATCCATGCTGTTCGCTTTCAGTTTATTGTACTTGTAATAGGGTCTGCAAGCGAACAGCATGGATTAGATCAGACTGCGCGGATGCGCAGGCTGGTCTGAATCCATGCTGGTCGCAAACCCATTATGATAGTTTTGTCGTGACGCGGCTCAAATAGATTTCATCATCTTAATGGGCAAAAGTGTAAGTTTATTGTTACATGCACTTTTATACTTCTATAACTTTCACTTTTTTATTTTTAATTATTATTTGACATACACTTTGCTGTGAAGATTCAAGGTATGGTATGGCCAGTCGCATGCACATATTCAGAGAAGGGATGAACGTTGGGGGTTCATAGCCCCCCCCCCCCCCCCCCCCCCCCCCCCCCCTCCTCCTGCGGATATGTGCAGTTCTTCTGACGTTTAAATATTGAAAATCACGCAAAACTAGTAAAATTAACAAATTGATTATTCGTTACACCTCTAGAAAACTAATAAATTGCCAACCCTCGTTGGAAAATCTATAACGCCTTGTCGGAAAAGTATTCCATTTGTGACATATGCAGTCTTCATATTTAGTAGACTCTTTTAATAAATTGTATTCTAGCTTTACCTTTTTTTCCAGACTTTCGTCCCGAAAGGGTCACCCTTTTTTTATAAATAATTAAAAATTTTTTTGGGAAAACCCGGGAAATTTTCCATTTTTTACTGGGGTGTTCAAATTTGAAAGCTGCAAATATTAATTATACAGAAAAGCTACATTATGTTGAAACTATACAAGTTCTGAATATAATAATAGCTTATTAATTACTATGCATATCAGTCGCCAAAAAATGCTTTCACTTTTACAACTCATGATATACGACGATGACATTAAAAGATGATACTATAAACGATGTTTTATATGAAAACAAGGATTCCGGTAAGATCTTATTTTTTTCAAAGGTAAAGGAAAATAACTAAATATTTAATGTTGCTTTCCCAAACAATCTTCATTCGGTTGTAGAAATTAGTATACAAAGTTCAATAAATCGCTTCTAAGATAATGAATAGTGTGAAATCATAGGGCTTCAACTGAAAAGTTCATATGTGGTTTTCATGTTTTCAATAGTTACTCACTTTGACAAAACATGTAGGGATGTTTTGTAGATGTTGTGCCCATACTGGCACATTATATGGAACTAAGTTGTAAAATTCCCCGTCCATCTGTAAACAAAAGCGTAGATATTTAATAGTGATATGTAATACAAAATCTTGGCAGGATCTCAATAATCTTGTCATAATTTATAGTTTCAATTGTTTCATAACATCGAGTGATTCCAAGTACGACAAGTACAATTACTATTTTGCTCGTCATACATTTAAACCTATATAGGAATCATCAGAAATATAAGCCGCGTCACGACAAAATCAACATAGTGGGTTTGCGACCAGCATGGATCCAGACCAGCCTGCGCCTCCGCGCGGTCTGATCAGGATCCATGCTGTTCGCTATCACTTTCTCTTCTTGTAATAGAGTTTGTAAGCGAACAGCATGGATCCTGATCAGACTGCGCGGATGCGCAGGCTGGTCTGGATCCATGCTGGTCGCACACGCATTACGTTCGTTTTGTCGCGACGCGGCTCATATGCTTTCAACATAGTCGTTGTCAGTAGTAATTTAAACTATGGTCATCAAAGATGATGTTACAATCATTGTTATCATTATAAAAACATTAAACATTACATCATACTATAAGCAATGACTCCATGATTATCACCACGAAAGCATAATATTAGCATTTACTTTAAACGAGCCGCGCCATGACAAAACCAACATAATGCGTTTGCGACCAACATGGATCCAGACCAGCCTGTGCATACGGGCAGTCTGATCAGGAACCATGATGATCGTTTTCAGTTTCTCTACTTGTTATAGGTTTGTCAGCGAACAGCATGAATCCTTATCAGACTGCGTGGATGCTGGTCGCAAATGTTGGTTTTGTCATGGCGCGGCTCAAATCATCTTCAATGTCCAAATAATTCGAATCTTTTCACAAAAAGCTTAGATAGATTAACTTCTTCGATCATTTAAACAGGAGCTGCCTGCACGAGAAAATGTAATTAACTGGTTAATTCAGTTAAAAAAGGAAATATGTTTCTCGGAAGATGTCTGTCATTTTATCTGTGAATGGATCTACTAATAAAAGGCTAATGGCTGCAATTTGATAGATTTTATTTTGCTTTTTGATTGAATATGTTAACTGACGGAGGTGTGATATGAGATTTTTTGTCAACTTCATCTCTTAAACATTTCTTCTTCATGCTAAAACTGACAGAACGCATTATAACCACTTAAGAAAAAGCACACTTTTAGCACCATGTGCACATCTGCAGCAAACGCACACTTTTAGCACCATGTGCACATCTGCAGCAAACGCACACTTTTTGCATCATGTGCACATCTGCAGCACTGGACAAGAATAATAAATAGTGATGTGCAGAAAAAGAACGGATATTATCAGATGGATTGGTATCCAGTAATATATCAAGCGAGCAGCTAGTATCCTATAAATAAATATACGACAGTTATCCTTAACATTAGTAAATATCCGTGTACGATATCAGCAATACTCACGATAGTTTTTTCTATATTGTATTACAAATCCGATTAATATTCCAAATAAACAAACTTCACGTTCCTGACTAGCAGATTGCTTTACCAGAGATGCCAACAAGTCTGTCAAATCTTTGAAAATTACATGCAATTATGTTCAAACGCATTTGAACCTTAACTTAAGCTGTATACAGTTGACATAATGATAACTTTCGACCCTTTTTCATTTTCATAACTTTAATACTAAGTAGATACTGAAAAAGATAACATACTTCCAAATGTAAGAATGTCAACCTGACGACTGCGTGTCACCTTTTTACTGATATGCAAAATGAAATCACATTTATGCGCACGTACAAATATGTGTACGCACGTATGTAAAGTTAACATGATGTATGTCCTGGAAGTTCGAAAAATACGTTGCAACAACGAACGTTAGAAAACGTGAAACTATACATTCTGACGTATATAATTTCTGTCACCGGTCAACTTCTTTTTAAATGTTTGTATGTATAGGTACGACTTCATAAATTAAGTCATAAGGTTATATAAGTCATAAGGTTATAAGTGATACCTGGTACACGAAACCCCGTTAGGGCATCCCTTTCAAATCAAAACAAATAACTGTATCAAACTACATCAAATGTTGCTAAAGTATGTTCTTGAAAATTATTGATCAAAGTTCTTCAAACAATAAAATTGTCTTTCAAATCTTAATTCACAAAATAGTCTATTTTCAAAAACGTATATGAAAACAACAAAACACTGACATTGTTGCGAGAAATTTGCACGGGGAGGCAGAAAATAATACCGAAAGTGTCACAAAATGTTCATTCGCTTGCCGCCACCAGTCTTTAAATGGGGAATATGGGATAAGCAAAAATAATATATTTGGCTCCGGCGAATTAAATACGTACTATGTTTTTGGTTTGTTTTTAATGATTGTTGTGACAGCGTTCAAAGTGGGTAACATAAGTATACTTAAGGACAATGAAAACGCACGCCCGCATTATATGCATTTTGTTACATGAAAATAAAACACTTATGACTCCATTAGATATATATCATAACTTTAATGCAAAACGCAAACTTAACAACTGAAAATAATTCAAAATGTTTAAAATCAAATGTACACCAGTAAATCGAAGAACCTTAGGTGAAAATCCCAAAATCACACTTTTTCATTACAGTAATGCAACCTTAACAAAGGCAAACAATGAAAATCCAAAACAAAGTCACTCATAAATGTCTATTCGTAATGTCACCGTCGGGATCTTTAGAAACGACAATATCCTCCATCAGCGTCTCTTAACAGAGGAAAATCGTTGCCTCATAGACCTTACGATGCGGATAGTCGCCTGTGGAAGCCAGCCCGCATAGCTCAATCGGTTAGAGCGCGAGACTTGTAATCTCGACATTGTGGGTTCGATTCCCGGGCTGGCCAACTAAAATTACTAATCAGTCTTTCGAATGAGACTTTAAATCGAGGTCCCGTGTATGGGTGCTTAAACACTTGGCTCGCTAAAGAACCAGGAGAAGCTTCTGGAACTGGGGCATCTTTCTGTATCTGTAATTGCACTATCCTCCGAAAAATAAAATGACTAATACTCTTCTGGAGGGCTCGCCCATATGGGCAACCGGTGGCGAGTATAAATAAACGCAAATACACACACATCGCCTGTGGAATCTGACGCCGTTCAGTCTGTAGTGTAGTGCGAAACGCTGGTGAAGCCGAGAAATTGTAGACCGACGGACACCAAAATGGTTGGCGCTTTGATAATACAAAATTGATTATAAGATAGGCCAGACTGAATCTCTCCGAAATATATCCATCGGTTAATTCTTTGTAGAACCATTGCATACAATTTGATAAAAGTATCCAATAGTGTTTGAAATTAAGCACCTTTTATTGAGGAAAAGTGTGTATATGCAATTTCAATGTGAGCTTTACGATTTCTAAAACTGACCATTTGCATAGTTTAATATTCATTTTCATAAACAATTTAATTGTTTATTTGTGTCTAATATTTATAGAAAGGTGTGAAAAACAAGTTAATAATTAACAGTTTAAAAAAATAAATAATTTCATTTCATAAAGTAACCATGAATTGATTAAATGTTTTCTGTTGTGATCTTATCACAATTAGCCAAAAGTGTTACTTTTGATTTTTCGAGTACTGTCTTTATCATGCAATAACTTCATTAAAATGCAATCATTTTTCATAACTTTGGTATCTAAATGACCGGAATGCATTCGGTTTTATGAAACTGTTGACAAAATACTAACAGAAAATATATTTTTTTGTTAAAACGCAATTATTCCGACCGTGCTTTTTTATTGTCCTTAAGTATAAATACAATTAAAGATGCACTCAAACATATTTATACTGGCACTCATACATCAAATATACTTTAATTTTTGTATCATACATAAAGTCATCTTTTCAAATGTACAAAATTATCTGAATCACACAATATGAATACAACAATCGCCAACGTCTTATTAGATACTGCTTTCGGTAGCTGTTTAAATCAGTTAAAACTGTTTTAATTCATTTTTCAATTTCAAGACCGTTCGACATCAGCGTTAAAAAGATAAGACAAAAGACAAAGAATCGATTTAATAGGGACTATCCTATTGGAATTGTCATTATTTTCTCACATTAGTTAAATTAGTTTTATCATGAATGGAATATTAACTTAAATATTTATTTCCATAGTTACAAACTAACGTGTACTCAACCGTGAATTATTTAGAACTAGCCTTGCCTGATTTTCAGCTATAAAGTGGGTAACGTTGGATTAACATTCTTGAGCAATAACGTAACGTTAGAACACGGCCATCGTCATTTCCGACCAGTTCAATGTTTGTCGTTATTTGTGTCTTGTTATTGTCAGAATCAACTAATAGCTGGTAAGCCACAGGTGGCGTGGAATTGTGGAGTGTTATTAACTTTTGTCTTTGACTTAGAAAGTCACTGGCGGTATATGTAAAATGATAATATCATCCGAAACCTTACCAACCTGTGTAAAGATGTTTGCATATAAATGGCATGTGATGTCCAGAAATGAGAGGAAGTCTATAGAAGACGATGGAAAAGCGGGTAGAACTTTAGGTTTGTAACATGCAATGCAGCAAGCACTTAAATAATAGAATGATATTCAAAGTTTACACAGAACGTTATCGTTGATTATGAAGATACATGGTAAATGAACACTTTTAACAAATTGATCACGATATATTGGTGGCGTGGTGGCGCGATAGCTCAGTTGGTTAAACCACTGACTATCACTCCTGAGGTCCCGGGTTCGATCCTGGGTTACACCCTTGGGATTTTTCAGAGACACTTTCAGTGTTTCCCACCTACATAGAGGTGTACTGGTAAGAAATCCAGGTAATCCTCGCATGTATCAGTGCTATACACTGGGCATGTAAAAGAACCAAGGGGTCTATTCAATAAGAGCTAGGGACTGGTTCCCGGATTCCCTTGTATCTTAAAGCTGTTTCTTAAATGTATACAATGTATACCTGCCTGTAACACTCGTAAGAGGGGTTGGCAGTATCCACAGATAGATAGATATTGTAATTGTTACAAACCCTAGATAATTCTTGGCAGATGTGTATGTACTTTCAAGAAACGACTAGGAATTTGGATTTCATAAACAGTTTTGAAAGGCTGTCTTTCGAACGCTGGCTTATTTCGTTTAATTTCTCTGACTGACGCAAACAATGCAGTTATTGCTCGTAGGAAACTTTATTTGATAAGAAGTTAACAACTTCAGTTATGAATCTGATATCGAGGGTTCAAAGGTAAAAGGTAATAACTGCCATTTTCTACATTTCGAGAAAAACGCAAAAAACATATATTTTAATACAACTTTATTTTCCGTAATATTTTTATAACAATTTTGATTCTCCCATATCTGTTGACTACATTAGATCATATTTTGTTTAGTTTACCTTGCTTGGTGCTGATTAAACACTAAAATTATGTTTTGTTTTAAAATTCTAAGATCAAAATAATATCATTTTACAGAAGTAAAAGGTAATAAATGTACTTAGATCCTGTCAAGACAACAAGTTTGAGCGGTAAAAGGTAATAACTGCCCTTACGACCTTTTACTTCTGAAGGTTTAGCAATAAATGTTCAAGATAAATTGTGGTAAAAGGTTGTAAGTGCAGTTATAGCCTTGTTCCTCTAAAAAGAATTTAGATGTTGAAGTAATTGTTACTGTTGCAAATTTATTAATTATGTCCTTACTTTGAAGAACCTTACGTAATGTCATTAACACACATGCACAATAATACTCGTACACAAAATTGACAATTTTCATTCATAGAAATATGAAATATGTACCTAATCAATATTTAGATTCTACAGAAATAAATTGATAACTAAAAAGTTAGGGAAATACGCACTAAAATCTTAGTTTACAAATTTTCATTTATTTTGAATGTTCTCTGGTATAGTCAAACAGACCCCAGACATCAGCAATTAAGGATATTAGTGACCCATATCATAGTTAAGTAAATAAAAACTACTGTTTCATGTCACAGAATGTGAATGTTTGTCATTAATTATTCCATGACCTTCACCCTCACTAACAGAAGGCACTGGAAGTTTGTCTTTTATAGATTTGCTGCATGGCAATGACTCGTAATATGATTCATACTCCTTCGGAATTGTCCTAGAGGCAACAAGTGACATCAAATCAGCTTTTTTTGCAGCATATATTGAAAGTTTCTCCGTATAAGCCTTTCGTGGAGCCTTATGAAACTTTTCTTTGCTTCTGCTATTCTTCTGCATTAACCTAACTTCCTTGAACTCACTAACATCAAAAACCATAGTTCATAAAAATACTGTATTCTTTCATTTCTTTGTTTTTACGAACTTGAATCCATTTTATATATTTAGCTAATTAACATGTTCTCCATCAACATCAATTTTCATTGAGCCAAAGTTTTGTTCTTTGTACAACTTGTAATCTAGTATGTCAGTGTATTTTATTAGAACGACAATATATGGTTGCTTCCGGCGTGCTAATGATATAACTGTTTCCCGCTGAGATGGAACATGTACTTTTGTGAGGCTTTTTGCATGCTCGATAGATGCATGTATGGAATCACATTCCATTTCGGAATGACCACTTTCGAGTAAATTGTGGTTTATACACTTGATGTGAGGAATATACTGGACAAACTGATTGCGATTCTGTCCCCCACATGTATCACTATATAATGTCACTTCTTCAATAACAGATGTCTTACTTGCATCAGAAGTAACATACAAGTACACACAAGTTCCTACTTCGCACGAGCCTCGTTTCCCCTGTGTCTCATACCCAAGATAACAAGTCCCGTTACCATTTCCCAGTTCATAGAATGACAAATTGTAATAACACAGTTTTCTTTTGTAATAAAGTTCACCAATTAAACTGCATGGTGTTTGGCGATACAGCCTGGATATCAAATGCCGACACAGAAAACTTTGGATCTTTCTTT